CCTGAGCTCGCGGGTTCGAGACCCGCCTGGGCAACTTGGCGAGACCTCATCTCTACAATAAATCAAAAAAAAATTAACCGGGCGTGGTAGCGCACGCCTGTAGTTCCAGCTACTTGGAAGGCTGAGGCAGAAGGATCGCCAGAGCCCAACAGGCGAGGCTGCGGTGGCCGGGAGCAGCCACTGCACTCCAGTCTGGGCAACAGAGTGAGACTCCAACTCAAAAAAAAAAATGAATAAAGAAATGCAGTTTCACCAGAGCAGAATGGGAACACCAACTTTAGATCTGGAAAATCTGGGCCCTTTTGTCTCAAAAATAACTTAAAAAGTTACAGTTTACCTTGTTACTAAAGTCATCCTCTCCCTGGCACCACCCACACCCACATTCCTGCCAACACCGAACATCTGAAGACAGCCTAAATTCCTAAAGCATCACCTGCATGGCCACTGAATTTTGTTATCTGCAAAGTAAATTAAAGTCTCCTATATTAGCAGCTCTTTTCCTAAAAAAAATTAATTAAACAAGGAAGGAAAAGCAACCATTTCTAAACACAGCACTTAGAACAGAATTTCAAAGCCCTTCAGATGAAAATTGTTTGAATGAGTGTAAATTAAGAACATAAGAAAAATATTATCCGCCCCCTCCCAGCTGATGAAACCTACCAAGTGTCAGAGCTGACAGCCAACCCTCTAAAACCCGCTGGAACATTGTACCTGCTAGAGGGACTATTGTACCCGCGAGGTAGAATAACAGTGGCTAAATAATGTTTGTCTCAGTCAAACAGACCTGAATTGGAATTCTCTTTCAGTCATTTACTTTTTTCACAAATACAAAATATGGCTAACAAAAGTATCTACTCCATAGGGTTTTTGTGAATGTGAATAGGACACTGTGTAGAAAGGTAAACGCTTCATACATGTTGAATTATTATTCCAGAGACTTGAGAAAGTCATCCATCTCTGTTTCAGGGAAGAGAGCACATGAACCGACCCCACCAACAACTTCCTAGTTTCTTTCTTATATCCTTCAGAGGAGTTTCTGCACTGAAAGGCCAGAGTGGTGTATCGGTTAAGGACATTGGCTCTGGGAAAGTGCTAACACTGTGACTCCTGTGACACATTTTAGGTTCTTCATCTATGAAATGGGAATAAAGATATAAAATATTACCCATCTTACAGGATTATTATGAGGCTTAAACTAGTCCATTTTTGAAAAATGCATAGAACGTTGCCGGGAAGACAGTAAATAAATGTACAGTACATGCTGGTTGTTACACTTCTCCTCATAGGTGCTATATTTTTAGCCCACAAAGAAAATGCAGTCATTTTAAAACTCTAGAATGTTAGAGCTGGAAGAGTTTTTAGGAAGCATTTCTAGTCCAACTCTCTCTTAATAAATGGTCACCAAGGAGGACCAGAGTTGACAAAATGGCTTGACTAGGATTAAAACCCAGACCTCCTAATTTCCATCTAGCGCTGAGTCCATACCCACTGTGCTTCTTCCTCTTAATGAAAATGGGGGGGGGGGTTGCAGTGGCTCACGCCTGTAATCCCAACACTTTGGGAGGCTGAGGTGAGAGGACTGCCAGAGCCCACAGGTTTGAGACCAACCTGAGCAACTTGGTAAGACCTCATCTCTAAAATAAATCAAGAAAAATTAGCTGGGTATGGTGGGGCACACCTGTAGTTCCAGCTACTTGGAAGGCAGAAGCGGAAGGATTGCTAGAGCCTAGCATGTTGAGGCTGTGGTGGCTGTGAGCATGCCACTGCACTCCAGCCTGGGCAACAGGGTAAGACTCTGACTCAGGGAAAACAAAAACTAAAACAACAGTAGGGATTATTCAGTCTCACTTCTCTGCAAACCACCAGGTCATCTCCTGGAAAGGGCCAGAGCTACTTAAAACATTTGAGCAGAAACCCCTCTTATCAACATTTTCAGGAACCACTGCCTCGCATAGCACTTTTTGGGGAGGTGATATGGGTGGGATATAATTTCCCAAGAATCCATACCCAAGAGATTCATAAAACAAAAGTTTGAAATATTATTAATTTCTTTTAGTAACAATGAAATATTCTTCCATGGGAGGAAATAATTACTAAATACTTTCTATTAAGTGTCTTTTGCATTTTCATTGAATCCTAATGACCCAGCCCTCTGCCCTAAATTGCCCTTCTATGTGCTACAGCAGTTACTTGGTATCTTCCTGCTCAAAGTACATACCATACTGTCAGGGAACTTTGCCTGCTTACTTGTCTTGATATCTCACCAGACTGTAAGCTGAAAAAGCACAGGGACCACAATAATGGTTTATCATTCATTTCTTCTTTCAACAAATATTCGCGCGCATGAACAAGACAAAGTTCTAGCTCATTGTGGCAGACGTTCTCTTCTTGCAATGTAACCTCAACATACCTCCCATTAGGGGGTGGGGCAGAGTGTTCCATTCCCTTGCACCTTCCCCTACAAAGCACAGTGGAAGTGGTGCTATGTGCTGTGTAAGTCTAGATGGTCAAAATGCTATGCATTGGTACTCACTCATGGAACCCAGCTGCCATACTGTGAGCAAGCCCAAAGTAACCTATGCAGAAAGATCACATTGAGAAGTAACCAGCTCGCCTGAGGCCCAGACTTCAGAGAACAGAGACAAGCCTTTCTTCCCCCCCCCGCCCCCCC